TCTCTCTCTCTCTCTCTCTCTCTCTCTCTCTCTCTCTCTCTCTTCTCTCTCTCTCTCTCTCTCTCTGACTATGCTCTTTGGTGCTCGGTGCTCATCATGGATCCGTGCTTTTCGTGACGTGCTGATCATGGATACGTGCTTTTCGTCACGTTGTGAGGAACCCCGGGGAGGGGGCCCTGTTCGTCGCTGAAGCCAAGGACAGCGGCGTCTGTCACCCGCTGTGTCCGCATCAGAGGTCCTCAGTGACGCAACAGGGGAGAGGGGTTTGTTCTGCCTGTCACACTTCCACTATATAACTAAAACGGATGACCTCTCGGATCAGTAATTAGTGAAAATTCGAATTTAAATAATATCGCGAAAAACCTGTTTTATGCCAACCAGCCAAGTGATGGGCAAAGTGCTGGTCGCACGTGATTGAGTGCGCAGCAGCCTCCCCCAGTCAAGGGATCACTAATTAGTGAAAATACGAATTTAAATAATGCAGGGGAAAAACCTATTTTATGCCTGAGCACTTCACTGGCTACCCGTGATTGAGTGTGCAGCAGCCTCCCCCCCAATCACGGGATATCACTAATTAGTGAAAATTCGAATTCAAATAATGTCGGGAAAAACCTTTTTTATGCCAACCAGCGAAGTGACGGGCAAAGTGGCTCTTACAAGTGATTGAGCACTTCGCTGGTCGCACGTGATTGACTGCGCAGCAGCCTCCCCCAATCAAGGGATCACTAATTAGTTAGAAACAAATCAACATTCAGTATTAGAGTAAAATCACACTGTCACCTCTTTGCAGTGCACTGGTCCTCAACTAGGATCTCAATCAGTTATTTCAAGCTGCATGTAAGGAAACAGCCATGACTGTCGGCTTTGACTATCAGGTTCGTTTGCTTCAAACAGCCCAGTTGCAGCAATCTGGCTAAGTATGTCAGTTCCCACTGCTGCAATCATCTCCCATGTGATCGAGTATACCCACGAATGATGTTCGAATGCCACCAGAGGACTTGTTGTTCTGCCGTTAGCTGTGTATGGATTGGTATTGCTCTCTCTCTCTCTCTCTCTCTCTCTCTCTCTCTCTCTCTCTCTCTCTCTCTCTCTCTCTCTCTCTCTCTC